GGTCCCCTTTATCAACATATCTGCCCCCTCAATCGTGTCCGGAATGTCTGGAGAATCAGAAAAGACCTTGCGGGATGCTTTTGAGGAAGCAAAAGTGCGCGACTCTCAGAAACTGCTTTCAGTCAAGCTGATTTATTTTTAGAGGGTCGCGCCTTGTATCCTTTTCATCGATGAGATCGATGCTATCACTCCAAAACGTGAAAGTGCTCAACGAGAGATGGAGAGACGAATCGTGGCCCAATTTCTAACATGCATGGATGGTAAATTTCCGCACAGAATTTCTTTCCCATCTTTCCCATCTGACGTGGATTTAGACATGTCTTGGGAGAAGAATGATAATAAACCAGTGATTGTGATGGGTGCTACCAATAGACCGGACTCACTTGATGCTGCTCTACGAAGAGCTGGTCGGTTTGACCATGAAATTAGTATGGGTGTTCCTGATGACGAAGCCCGAGAAAGGTAAGAAATTTGATCTCTATTAACGTCATTCTCACCTTCATTCAGGATTTTACGTGTCTTGTCCGTCAAATTGCGCATAGAGGGTGACTTCAACTTCGCCGCGCTCGCCAAAGCTACTCCAGGTTATGTGGGGGCAGATTTGTCGGCGCTTACTGCTGCCGCTGGTATCATAGCGGTCAAGCGAATATTTAAACAGCTATCGGAAGGTACATTACAGCTGCCGGCGGAACCGGATTCATCTATGCAAGTTGATGAGCCCCAGATTGCTGCAGAGGCATCATCATCTTCATTGCAGCCTGCTCCGATAATAAAGGCTATAACGTCCTCCCTTGCATTTCCCACTTCATCTCCTCATTCCATCGCCCATTTCCTCAACGCCCACCCTGACCCTCTTACGCCTGTGCAGCTGGCTCCTCTCTGTATAACCTCTGCCGACTTCACCGTCGCCCTGACTCAGGTTCAGCCCTCTTCCAAGCGAGAAGGTTTTGCTACCGTGCCCGATGTCTCGTGGTCAGACATTGGTGCCTTGCATCGTACCCGAGATGAGCTACACATGGCTATTGTTCAGCCTATCAAACGACCGGAGCTGTTCAGTGCTGTCGGTATAGAGGCAGCATGTGGGGTATTACTCTGGGGACCACCAGGATGTGGGAAGACACTGCTGGCTAAAGCCGTTGCGAATGAATCTCGAGCGAACTTTATCAGCGTCAAAGGTCCGGAACTGTTGAATAAGGTAGCTTCAAGCTTTTCTTCCAATTACCCTAAGCTCATGCCGTTCCTCAGTATGTTGGTGAAAGCGAGAGAGCAGTACGCCAAGTCTTTTCGCGAGCTCGGGCATCATCTCCTTGTGTAATCTTCTTTGATGAGCTTGATGCACTCGTCCCTCGGCGTGATGACAGTCTTGTAAGTCACATTCTCTTGTCGTGTTGAACGCCATCACCTGATCATTTCGCCAGTCTGAATCATCAGCTCGGGTTGTGAATACCCTCTTGACCGAGCTTGATGGACTGGATGCCCGTAAAAGCGTGTATGTCATTGCCGCTACCAACCGTCCTGATATGATAGACCCTGCCATGGTTCGGCCAGGACGCCTTGACAAGCTGCTCTACGTAGACCTCCCTAATGGTGAGGAACGTGCTGAGATCGTTCGCACTATGACGCAGAAAGTACCTCTTGCTGGTGATGGAAGCGAGTCACTAGATGCCGTCCGAAGTCAAGGTGGAAGACTTTGTTCGTGAGCGCTGTGATGGATTCAGTGGTGCCGATCTGGCCGCTTTGGTTCGTGAAGCAGGTGTCACCGCCTTGCGCCGAACGCTTGGTGTGCTAGATCATATGGATGATGACGCGAGAGGGTCCGAAGAGAGGCCAAAAGTTACGGTCCATATCGCGGACTTCAGTGCCGCCTTAGAGAAGGTCGGGCCAAGTGTTAGCCCTCAGCAAAAGAAGAGGTACGAAGCGTTGAAATCCAAATTAGCGGGTTCGCCCGTGAAGATGGTGAAAGACGAAGGTAAAAGGTGTAGAGGGAGAGGCGCAAGCATAAATGACATTCCATCCGAGTATGGATTCGAATGATATCACACTTTTCACGCTTGGGTCTTTCGTAAAGCGGAGAGAAGAGCTGACAAGCGTAAGTTATGTACAGAGTGAACAGTAAAGGTGAGACGATAGAGGTAAGCGCTAACCTGTCAACGCGGACAGGAGGTCAGGTACTAGAAAAACAACAGAGAGTGCGACAAGTAAATAAAATATGCTAGTGGGTGGATGTGACTCTTCGACATTTGGATGTATTACTGCCTTCAACTCCAGGTCAGGCGGGTGGAGACGAGTGTTCAACAGCTTCCATGCACTACCTGTCAGGTCGACGGGTGGATGCGAGGGTTCAACATTCCAATGCGTCGTGTCCTTTCTCACCAAGTCTTTGGTATCAATGGGGGGATGAGAGGTTTTCAAGCATCTGGATATGTTAACTCCTAGACGAGCAGGGAGAGGCTCGTGTTCAGCACTCCGAAGTGTTTCTTCTTTCCTCACCAACTCCTTTGTGGTTTCGTGGGAGAGTAACGATTTCTCAGCAATCTGGTGCATCAATTTCTTACTCACCAACTCCTTGACGATTCGCCATCCTTCCTCACCAGGGGAAGCCATCTCACTGTCCCGGCGGAAGTCGTCCCCAAGCAGATCGACGTCAACACTGTATTCTTTTCTCAGCTGCGTCTTCAGCTGATCCTCTGAAATGCTAGCTGGCGCCAAGGTTCGCAGGATTTCATACATGCCGAGGACGGCGGCAGGATCACCGTTTATCATCGCTGCGAAACTTCAGCTGCGGGAATCAAACAATGGAAATATATGGAATACCTTGCCGCCGCATAGCGGTGAACATGACCTTATCTTTAGGAGCATCAACCATGAGGACATATACCATCTCAGCAAACAGTATTCCCCTCACCTCTAATATCCGGGATATCAATGCCTATGTCGTCAAATGGGCGCGGCCGCATGTACTACAGGAATTCGTGAGCTATTGTCTCTCCATCGGAGACGTGTATTCTCGACTTACAACATAATCACATGACGTCGGTTTGGTGATGAAAGAAATTTGGTGCAATAAGTCTGGGGATCGCTTGAAAGACGGGTCTGGGGGCTGGAATACCACTCTCAAGCTCTGTGTTCTCTGTCCCCGAGTCCGGGATACCCTCCCCGGGCTTCTCTTCGTCAAATGCGACTTTTCCGCAAATCGCTTTGTGAGGTCTGGGGAATCCGTGCTTCCAGTCTTTCTTCTGGCATTCCCTACCATAGAATGAATAGTTAGCACCACTACTTGGCAACAAATACATCCAAACGCACACAGAACAGTATCTCACCACTCGATCCACAGCCTTTGCATTTGCTACAGATTCGAAAACGCTCTGCTCCGCCAGACATATCTTCTTTGCGGCTGCAATGGAAGCATATATTTTGGTGATTTTCGGCCTCTTTTCGACGAGAATAATCCCGCATGTCTTTCGAAAACTGAGGAAGCCTTCCCTTCGTCCTTGTAGAATTTCTTGGCTTGGCGTAAGACGTCCTTGGTTGGTCTGCTGCTGTCGCGGTACAGCGGCTTTGCTACTTGGATCTCCTCTCTGTTACCGTACTGGTGCTATTATTCAGTCATCGTTGATTCCCAAGTAGAAGAGCTCACAAATGCGTTTAGGATGCTCCATACGGTCATGGTAATGAAATAGCTTCTTTTCAGCCGATATCCGTCGAATATCTGTGTAAGCACGATATCGTTAGGTCTTACCAGCTCCTCGAATGCTGGATTCTCCAGGAGCAGCGGAGTAGCTAAGTGTTTCTTTGACTTGATCATCAGGAAGGAGCATTTTCAGAAGGTGGATGAAGTCTCTGTTGTTTGTTCCAGAAAGCGTGGTGACGGTCATTTCGGGACACCATAACCGCCAGTCCTCCATTCCATTTGGAACACAGGCAGTTACATATAGCCCTTCCAGGACCAAGTCTTCCCGTCGCTGTGGCGATAACGACCTCCACCTTTCCTCCAAGTTGTCGTTACTCAATCCTGCTACGGCAGCTTGAGCCAAGTCCCGCTGAAGAAGACACATTTCCTTGGTGCGGATGTCCTTCTCCAACCGCATAGATGGTAGGGATCCAGTGTCTCGAAGAAACCGAATACTCTGGGGGGACATGGCGCTGGTCATAGCTGGAGTTTTTTGTCCCGAAGGATATCTATCCAAAAGCTCATCTTCCCAGCTTTTGTTCCACGCTTGACGATATTTGTGTTTGTCGGGACGAAGTCTGGGCATGGACTAGTATAGTAGCAACTAAGTTATAGTAAGTTGGCGATGGCGGGAGATACAGTGCGAGAACAACTGTTTAGACACCAAAAGGCTTTGGCAACGTTGCGTACACGTGGAAACCTGGCGTCCAATGTTTTCCACGAGGAATACGTGCGCAAGAATGGACTAAGTGTATCAAGGGAATAACCTTTGGCCATGCTTTAGGCATATTGAAGTGGAAAGTCCGAGAAATGGTCATTTCCAGTTACAGTCTGAAACGAAGACAATGAATTATTCAGGTTGCGGCGCGCTGTAATGATATAACCCTCCCTCAGAATTTGAAAGTGGTGCATCTTTGCGACCACTTTGAACGTGATGAAGCGATTCGGAATACTGAATAGGACATCCTCAGCGACTTCTAGATAGGAAATCACTATAAAGGAAAGAAGCAATGGCTGATGGCTATGTTATATCAGACCATGCCCCTTGGACGAGTAGTAGGATTTCATACCCGACCTCAGGTTGTAATATAGACATGAGTACGGCGGTGCCATTCAGAACGACGACGGTTTTTTATGTAACGTATACGTCGTAAAGGTAGCAAGATGTTAATTTTCCTAACAAAAGCTAAATGTTCGTGGAGTGGACTGAGTGAGCGAAACTAACAATAAACCATAGTACATTCCAAAGTCCTCCACTTAGCTCCAAACAAAAGCTGAGGGAAAGGCCTGAAAAGCCCAAGGAATTCGACAATGGAGAAAATAACCAAAATGACAAGGGTGGGACTTGAACCCACGCCACGATACCGTGATGAGAAACCCCTATCGGAGCAAAGTTCCTAGAATTAACCAGAACACTTGAGTCACACGCCTTAACCGCTCGGCCACCTTGCCTTTCTCGGATATCTTTTTAAGCTCCTTGTGGCCGATGAGTATGAACCCTTGGCCACTGGCAGAGGCGGATGAAAATGGAACATGCCGCACTCCTTTACATCTACTACTCGATGCAAAAATGTGCCCTTCCCCCGCAACAAGATCTCCAGGCAGGCCATTAAGAATTTAAATTAAATAATCTGGCGCCTCAGACCACTCGGCCATTGTGCCAATGCTTCCGTGTAGGTGATTCTAGCTCTATTCTGTCGCCGGCAATCAACTGGAATTAGTAATCTAAAACATTCAAGTTCCTCCATCAAGTCTCCTCTTTAGTCGTTGTATGGTAAAGGGGAGTCGGACAACGGTTGCGGAAACTCTGCAATGAAGATGCCCTATACCGAGCTGTTCTATTACCCCTTCCCCTGATGGATCGCGTGCCTAACAGCTGATACTTTTCGCTCTTCCAACATCGTGAGAGCCGCCGACTGTTCTATCTTAATCCGTCTCGCCGCGTATCTCCGCGGTGTGTAATTTTGCCTTTGTACTTACCACGTCTGGCCGAATCATCAATTCCATCCGTTTCCATCGCTTTCGACGACCAAAGTCGGCATGCTAAACTTCACACCGACGGACATCTGCTCGCGAGGAGTCTTCTAGGCTACGGCTTTATTGATATTCCTACTAGCTTAAGAGTTACTTGGGGTCTGACTTCGATTATCGGGACGCGGGTCGCGCCTATTCAGCCGATGTCCACTATCTCTACTCCGGGTTTCTCGTAAAACTCTTTATCCCCTGACGTCTTTTGTTTCAAGGCTAAATGGCCATTGGTTGAATTCATCATTACAAAATTGACAAATCGATTTCACGAGTAACAAATAATAGAAACCACCGGGTACTGGTCGGTGGTGACTCGGGTCATGAGTTGGGCGTATATAAATGTGAACCCTGGGTTGACTTTCTAGTCCTGTCGTTGTTTCTAGCCACCTGGTAGCCAGCTATCTCACATCCTCCCGTCCTGCGAAGCTGAGTCGTCGTCATGCCTGGTTCGTTGTGCATTACTCTTCTGCTATAGCGCGTATTGACGCAACTACACAGAAAAGAAAGAATACGTCCAGTCCCCTTTCAAGGCCTTCATTACGTCGCCGAGGCGCATGCTCTATGCTATCGCATTTTTCCTAGTCTTTGCCTTGAGTTCGTCACATATCCTTCGATTCACCTATTCTTTGATTCTCAACGCCCTCTATCACACTAGCTACGTCGCAACTCGGTCTCGTCTCGCAGCAGCTTCACAATGGTGGTAACGACTACGCCAACTACCCCGGCATGGAATACAAGCATGATCTCGGCTTGCTGCTCTTCAGCTGTGTATTCACCTACCTATACCTGATTGGACATCTATATGCGCCCGGTCTTGGATGTACGTCTTTCTGGCATGCTTTATAACGCAGTTCTAACGTCCTGCGATAGTAATCACTTTCTTCACCTTTGTCGGCGCTGTATTCTGGGGAACTGGTGCAGGTGTAATGTTTCAAGTTAGCCCCTTCCGATCATACAACTTGTGGTAACCCCTCGGATTCGTTCTCGCCGAAATTGGGCGCGGTTCGCCGATCAGTGTTCAAGGATCGTGGCTATCCAGGGTATCGCCTGGGCGAACTGTGAGTATCATCAACTGTCATTGGACCGAGCGCTTATGTTGGACATGCTAGGGGGCTTGTTCGTCTTCCTATTCTTCGGGATGCTCATCCACAAGCTGGAAATCAAACCTAGACCCAACGTGACAGTTCTACGGGCCTTAGATATTCGAAAGAACCTAGCATAAAGTTTTGATACATTTGTTCAGCGATGTTTAACGACCCATGTCTTATCATGACCTCTATATTACTTCAATCCTGTTCTAGTAGAAAAAATGTTAACTGCGCGGCACCCTTTGCAGGTTTTGTGGAATGGAAAGATGGTAGTAGGCCTGCAAGCGCCGTGTTGTGCGCCGAGGTCGCTGCTACTGAGGATCGTGGGGACCGAGGTTACACTCGGTAGAACATATTGCAGCACACATCTGTAGCAAATATAGTTCTGAGGTGGTTGATTGTAGCACCGATACTTCGCTGATCAAGCTTACGCGACACCTTTCTTTCACGTCGGGAGATGTCGGGACGCCGCTGCACGGATATCGTGTGTGCCAAAAAAGGCAGATGACGCTTTCTTCCGGCACGTTGCCTCCCGAGGAACGACATCAAGCACCAAATTAAAACGCCGCCTGTCCCCTTCCTCAACAACTACTTAGGATCGTTAACATGGCCAGTGCAAAAGTCGCGACACTGCTAATCCGAGTAAGTAATGGACGTTTCCTTGTTGAATATTAAACTTATCTCTTGCGCGGAGAGACTATCGCGAAGCCAATAAGCTCCACCCTCAAAGAGCAAGCTAAACGGTCCACTTGATGTTCATCTTGCCTTATTTAATATGCTTACTTTGAATGCTGCAGGCATGACCGGTTTCGAACATTCTGTGTCTCATTAGCCCAGCGAATGTACCGTGCTGAAGTGAAAGCTGAGAACCGGGCTACTGGGGGAGCCCGCGAAACATATACGCCCACTTTCTGAACAAAAGTGCGTCCCTATTTTTGCTTTTAATCTCTTGCGTATCTGATCCCATCTACAGAGCTATAGATAATGGGGCCAATGCGTTAGCAGAAGGATTCCTATTCAGTGTAGCAGCGCTCTTGATCATAGGAGAAACATGGCGGTCATCTCGAAGTCAATCTAAACGAAGAGATGACGTGAACGACAAGTTAGACGAGCTGGGGACACAGGTGACGGAGCTCAAAACACGGATGAATGTGCTCACAGATCAGCTGGAGCAGAGGGATCTGGAGCAGCAGCTGAGGTGCGTTCGCGCCATTCCTATGCCCATTTGTGTAGCTTACCGTCGATACAGGAATGACGAACTCACACGAATATTGGAGCGTGTAGTCGAAATCGGGCTTCGAGGTGGATGGGCAGAATTTGAGGATACGCCTCTTCAGTTTCCCCGCATATCTCTCGCGCCGACCGCTTCTTCAGTCTCTCATTCCCCTCTACCCCCCGACGATACCCGAATAGATGTAAATACCCCAGAAAAAGACTCCAAGTCCTCAAACGATAAGCCCCCCTATTCATAATATTCACTTATTGTATCGAAATATAATTATCTTACGCTTCACGAGCTCAGAGACTCGTGTATCACGCCGACGCATTTCGATGGCACATTTGACTCGACGATCCTAGACTGTGGCTGTTTTCCGAGTACATGACAACTGATCACTGTTTCACGGATAATGTGGATCAAGTGATAGTCCAGCTTTGCTATCCGTTTGAATATTTACCAAGTGTGATATTCATCAAATCTACAATAAGTGAATGCTAGGCTGAACTCGGAAGAGCATAAGGGACACGAACGGCGAGGTGCACCCGCATTTGGCCTTCGTTCGCCTTGTACTACTTAACCAGCAATTACAACTACTGTTGTCGAAATCTTATTCAAGCACACTCGATATGCTTCTTGTTTACCCGGGTATTTTCGGCAGTCTCTGATAATACGGTATATTAAAATCTAGGGATGCAGAACAGAAAAGAAAATGAATTGGAATAACAATACAACGGGTAGAGTAACTCTACAAGTAGGGTAGCCAATATGGTATCAAGTACAATGTCCCATGAAATTAGACAACGATGCAATAGAATCTGAAAGCAGAGAGAAAACATCACATTATACAGCATCCGTTCTTGGAAAGGACATATGTTATCCAGCCAAGACCACGAACGCTCCTCACCTGTCGCATCGCTCGTCGATATCGGACCTCCTGTCCTTCGAATCTCGATGACATACTCCTGGTCTTCCTCACCTTCTTGTGGTGTATCATACCACCACCGGAGGACCTGTCCGTCAACAGACCACCGCCCCGTGCTCACCGTCACATCGACATCCACAAGGTTCTTCTCCAACAGGGTATGTAGCAAATCATCCCCTCCGGCCAACGTGTGACTCGATCGTGAATCAGTCAAATTTGATGCAGACGGAACACGAGATATAGACGAGCTCGTGTCCACTGAGCTGTCATCAGTAAGCAACCGAGAATGTGCGTAATGCACCAGGGGAACGAAAATCTCCGTAGCTGGTGATTCTTCGTTCACACCACCAGCCTTGAGCTTTGTCCTCAGCACGTACGGTGACGACGAACTTGAAATACGCTTTTCGCAGGTCGAACGCGATGTCCTTGGGCCGGCCAATGACTTTATGAGGCCAGGGTCGGTTGAACGCTCGATCTGCCCTCGCCCCATCCGTCAGGAATTTATATGGATTGTCCCGCCATCGCATCATGTAGAGTTCGTGTCGTTGTTGCGCCCTTAGCTCGTCAAAGCTCGTACCGTCCCCCATTCCTAGCGTGGCCAAGGAAAATGTCGATGCAGCCCACGCTGCTCGAACGTCAACGCCTTCGCCCGACATCTTCCGCTTCAATAAACCTGCCTGCGACTCCGTACCCTTGTAGGGGTACTCACAGTAGTCGTCCTCCTCCTTCCCCCTCCGCACCCCCAGATCATCTGAACTCCACAAACTCAGATCTTCCATATTCCACCCGTCGCCCCAATCATGACAGCTATCAGGGCAATATGTCCATATCGTCCAATTGATCGCATTGGGCCCATCAGCGCCATTGAGACTAGCATCCAGGGCCCGTTCTTGTCGACTGTAGTCGCCCTTGTGCTTCCCATGATCCGTCCAACCGTAACTCCGCTTGTTGTCCATGTCGAAAGGGGTACCTATCTCACCAAGAATGGTTGGGTATGGTCCCAGGATATGTGCATCGACCTTGTACATAGAGAGTTGTTCCTGCAACGACTTCCGTATAGCGGTTTCCCCGACCTTCACGGCCTGCAGTGGAGAGGAATACTTTCCCCTCAATACTCCCAGAGCATCGGCATTAAACCAATTCCAGTGTCGTGTTATAAGGGTAAGGCCGTCGTAATAGTGGGGGGAGTATGCGG